CAATAACGGGGTTCTGGAGCTGTTTTGGGGTGCGGTTCTGTGCCACCACCCATAACGGGGTTCTGGAGCTGTTTTGGGGTGCGGTTCTGCTGCCACCCCCCAAATTGGGGTTCTGGAGCTGTTTTGGGGTGCGGTTCTGTGCCACCCCCCAAAAACGGGGTTCTGGAACTGTTTTGAGGGTGCAATCCCACAGCCATCCCCCAAAAAAGAAATCCCAGATCAATTTTGGGGTGCAGTACCAGAAACGTGCTCCCAGCTCAATTTTGGGGGTCTCTGTGTCCCCCCTGGCCCTTCCCGGGATGCTCCAGGCCCTCGCAGCATCCCAGACCCCACATCCCACCCCACAGGGCCGGGGAGCTCGGGGGGTGCGGGGAACACTCGGGGTCCCCCCGGTGAGGGCGGCCCGTGTCACCGAGCCCCCCGAGACCGGGGTCCCCAAAAAGAGTCCCCAAAAAGGGTCCCCAAAACCCCAAAAAGGGTCCCCAAAAAGGGCCCCACAGAGGGTCCCACAAGGCCCTTGCTGCTCCCACCCGCGGTCCTGCTGCTCCCAAAAATCCCAAAAACCGCCCAGGAGCAGCGACGGCCACGGGCACGAGGCTTTGTCCCGGCCCGTGGGAATGGAGAGAGCTCATCCTGCATGGGAACGGGAATGTGGGAATGGGAATGGGAATGGGAATGGGAATGGGAATGGGAGTGTGGGAATGGGGGAATGGGAACGGGAATGTGGGAATAGGAATGGGAATGTGGGAACGGGAACGGGAACGGGAATGGGAATGGGAATAGGAATAGGAATGTGGGAATGGGAATGGGAACGGGAATGTGGGAACGGGAACGGGAACGGGAATGGGAATGGGAACAGGAATGTTGGAATGGGAATGGGAATGGGAATGGGGGAATGGGAATGGGGGAATGGGAATGGGAGTGTGAGAATGGGGAAATGGGAACGGGAATGTGGGAATGGGAATGGGAATGGGAATGTGGGAATGGGAATGGGAATGTGGGAATGGGAATGGGAACGTGAATGTGGGAATGGGAATGGGAGTGTGGGAATGGGAACGGGAATGGGGGAATGGGAATGGGAACGGGAATGGGGGAATGGGAATGGGGGAATGGGAATGGGAATGTGGGAATGGGAACGGGAACGGGAATGGGAATGGGAACAGGAATGTTGGAATGGGAATGGGAATGAGCAACACGATCCCGGCAGGAACGAGGACGCTGCAAATCCCGAGCCGTAAATCCCAGATTTAATGGGATTTCCCCGCTGGATCCAGCGGGGTCACCTGGTAGCGGAACCCTCCGCGGGCGCGGGGGCAGCGTGGGGATTTTTTCCTCTTTTTTTCCCTCTTTTTTCCCCGTTTTTCGGGATTCCCGGAGCCAAAGGGAGAGCGCTGCTTCCCTCTAGCGGCCCCGGGACAGGAGGGGACCGGAGCGGGAACGGCCCCGGGACAAGGGGGGACAGCGAATCCCGGGGTCCGCGGCTCCAGGAGCTGCTGGGAAGGGCCCGAGGGAGGCCACGGGAATGATTTGGGGTCTGGAAAACCTCGGGCGAGCGGAGAGAGGGAAGGGTAGACCGGAGGAGGGAAGGCTGAGAGCAGGAATATCCCACATTTCTGTGGAAATATGTGAAATATCCATAGAAATCTGTCACTGCAGAGGGGATCCCGTCACTGCATGAAAACACCTCAGATATCCATGGAAATATGTCAAATATCCACGGGAATATCGCAAATATCCACGGAAATCTGCGACTGGAGAGATTCCCACCAACACATGGAAATATCTCAGATATCTGTGGAAATCTCTCATTTTGGGAAAGGGATCCCACCAATGCCTGGAAATATCTCAGATATCCGTGGAAATCTCTCATTTTGGGAAATATCTCAGATATCCGTGGAAATCTTTCATTTTGGGAAAGGGATCCCACCAATGCCTGGAAATATCTCAGATATGCATGGAAATCTCTCATTTTGGAAATGGGATCCCACCAACGGATGGAAATATCTCAGATGGCCAGAAGTGAACCCCAAGTCCCCCTCGGCAGGAGGCGGAGCTGGCCCCGAGGGTGGCCGGGACCGGTGACCAGGAAGGGCCGGGGGACATTCCGACCCCGCGGGGACCCTGCCTGGGCAGGTGGCCCTGCCCGGGTGACCTCGGGGGTCCCTGCCCAGCTGCTCTGGCGTTCCGGGGCGGGCAGCGCTGTCCCCGCCCGTGTCCCCCGCCGGTCCCCGCGGGCCCCCCAAGCGCCTTCCCCCGCCAGGACTACACCTCCCAAGAGGCAGCGCGCCGCTCCGGCCAATAGCGCGCGGCCTTGCTCAGCCAGCGGGGCACAGCGGAGCCGATAGGCCGGGCGGCAGCGGGCGCGGCAGAGAGAACTACATATCCCAGAGAGCCCCGGGGGGCGCGGGCCAATGAGGAGGGCGCGTCTTGGCGCGGCGCGCAGGCGCGCTGGGCAGGGGGGCGGCGGCGGATTCATGTGGAGGTCAGCGGCGCGGCGGGAGCGGCGGGCGGGGGGCGGCGGTGGGTCCGGGACCGGGAACCGGGAATCGGGAACCGGGCACACAGCCAGGCCTTGCCCCCTGGCGGGCCCCTGCTGCGGGCGAGCGGCCTAGGAGGGAGCGGGCAGGGGGAGGCCTGGGGGGTGCGGGGGGCCCCGGGGGCGGCGGGACCGAACCCGGGGAGGGAGATGGGAGGGAGACCCCCAGGGATGGGGGGACCCTCGGGAATGGGAGAGACCCGGGGATGGGGAGACCCCCGGGGATGGGAGAGACCCGGGGATGGGGGGACCCCCGGGGATGGGGAGACCCTCGGGAATGGGGAGACTCACAGGGCCGAGGAGACCCCTGGGGCTGTGGAGACCCCCGAGGTGTTTGTAGGAGACCCCCGGGGCTGGGGAGACTTCCCGGGCAGGGGGATCCCCGGGATGTCTGTGGGGCAGAGGGGGGACCCCCAGGCCCTGCTGCCCGCTGTGTTGGGGGGCTGTGGGCAGGGGGACCCCCGGCCGTGCCCGGGCAGGGCTGAGCTCTGCGGGGCGTCGCAGGCGGGCTCTGGAGCGGTGAGATGGCTGCCAAGGTGTTCGAGAGCATCGGGAAGCTCGGGCTGGGCTTGGCCGTGGCGGGGGGAGTCGTGAACTCGGCGCTTTACAACGGTGAGTGGGGCTGGGTGAGTGGGATGGACTCGGTGAGTGGGGCTGGGTGAGTGGGATGGACTCGGTGAGTGGGGCTGGGTGAGTGGGATGGACTCGGTGAGTGGGGCTGGGTGAGTGGGACTGGGTGAGTGGGATGGACTCAGTGAGTGGGACTCGGTGAGTGGGACTCGGTGTGTGCCCCGGGT